TCTCGTTCGGGGTGAATGACCTACCCTGATCTCGTTTTACGAGTTATACGGGCATATTTTTGGCTGAGCCTACGGGCTCAGAAACCCCGATAAAAAATGACCTTGTGTCGCATGCAACCCTCGTGGGGGTGGCTAGATACTGAATCAAGCCGATCTTTTCGACTTGACGGTCGAACTCTCTGCTCTTGCAGAAAGGAACCCGGACGAGGTTCCGCCGAAGGGCAGAATCTCGTTCGGGGTGAAATGACCTACCCTGATCTCGTTTTTACGAGTCATACGGGCATATTTTTGGCTGAGCCTACGGGCTCAGAAACCCACGATAAAAATGACCTTGTGTCGCATGCAACCCTCGTGTGGGGGTGGCTGAATACTGAATCAAGCCGAGCTTCTCGACTTGACGGTCGAACTCTCTGCTTTTGAGCGAAAGGAACCCGGACGAGGTTCCGCCGAAGGCAGAATCTCGTTCGGGGTGAATGACCTACCCTGATCTCGTTTTTACGGTCATACGGGCATATTTTTGGCTGAGCCTACGGGCTCAGGAAACCCCGATAAAAATGACCTTGTGTCGCATGCAACCCTCGTGGGGGTGGCTGAATACTGAATCAAGCCGATCTTTTCGACTTGACGGTCGAACTCTCTGCTTTTGAGCAGAAAGGAACCCGGACGAGGTTCCGCCGAAGGGCAGAATCTCGTTCGGGGTGAAATGACCTACCCTATCTCGTTTTTACGAGTCATACGGGCATATTTTTGGCTGAGCCTACGGGCTCAGGAAACCCACGATAAAAAATGACCTTGTGTCGCATGCAACCCTCGTGGGGGGTGGCTAGATACTGAATCAAGCCGATCTTTTCGACTTGACGGTCGAACTCTCTGCTTTTGAGCAGAAAGGAACCCGGACGAGGTTCCGCCGAAGGGCAGAATCTCGTTCGGGGTGAATGACCTACCTGATCTCGTTTTTACGAGTTATACGGGCATATTTTTTGGCTGAGCCTACGGGCTCAGGAAACCCACGATAAAAATGACCTTGTGTCGCATGCAACCCTCGTGGGGGTGGCTAATACCGAATCAAGCCGAGCTTCTCGACTTGACGGTCGAACTCTCTGCTTTTGAGCAGAAAGGAACCCGGACGAGTTCCGCCGAAGGCAGAATCTCGTTCGGGGTGAATGACCTACCCGATCTCGTTTTTACGAGTCATACGGGCATATTTTTGGCTGAGCCTACGGGCTCAGAAACCCACGATAAAAATGACCTTGTGTCGCATGCAACCCTCGTGGGGGGTGGCTAGATACCGAATCAAGCCGAGCTTCTCGACTTGACGGTCGAACTCTCTGCTTTTGAGCAGAAAGGAACCCGGACGAGGTTCCGCCGAAGGGCAGAATCTCGTTCGGGGTGAAAGACCTACCCGATCTCGTTTTTACGAGTCATACGGGCATATTTTGGCTGAGCCTACGGGCTCAGGAACCCCACGATAAAAATGACCTTGTGTCGCATGCAACCCTCGTGGGGGGTGGCTAGATACTGAATCAAGCCGAGCTTCTCGACTTGACGGTCGAACTCTCTGCTTTTGAGCAGAAAGGAACCCGGACGAGGTTCCGCCGAAGGGCAGAATCTCGTTCGGGGAGAAATGACCTACCCTATCTCGTTTTTACGAGTCATACGGGCATATTTTGGCTGAGCCTACGGGCTCAGGAAACCCCACGATAAAAATGACCTTGTGTCGCATGCAACCCCTCGTGGGGGGTGGCTAGATACCGAATCAAGCCGATCTTCTCGACTTGACGGTCGAACTCTCTGCTTTTGAGCAGAAAGGAACCCGGACGAGGTTCCGCCGAAGGGCAGAATCTCGTTCGGGGGTGAATACCTACCCTATCTCGTTTTTACGAGTCATACGGGCATATTTTGGCTGAGCCTACGGGCTCAGGAAACCCCGATAAAAACGACCTTGTGTCGCATGCAACCCTCGTGGGGGGTGGCTAGATACTGAATCAAGCCGATCTTTTCGACTTGACGGTCGAACTCTCTGCTTTTGAGCAGAAAGGAACCCGGACGAGGTTCCGCCGAAGGGCAGAATCTCGTTCGGGGTGAATGACCTACCCTGATCTCGTTTTTACGAGTCATACGGGCATATTTTTTGGCTGAGCCTACGGGGCTCAGGAAACCCACGATAAAAATGACCTTGTGTCGCATGCAACCCTCGTGGGGGTGGCTGAATACTGAATCAAGCCGAGCTTCTCGACTTGACGGTCGACTCTCTGCTTTTGAGCAGAAAGGAACCGGACGAGGTTCCGCCGAAGGGCAGAATCTCGTTCGGGGTGAATGACCCTACCCTATCTCGTTTTTACGAGTCATACGGGCATATTTTTGGCTGAGCCTACGGGCTCAGGAAACCCCGATAAAAATGACCTTGTGTCGCATGCAACCCTCTGGGGGTGGCTAGATGCTGAATCAAGCCGATCTTTTCGACTTGACGGTCGAACTCTCTGCTTTTGAGCAGAAAGGAACCCGGACGAGTTTCCGCCGAAGGGCAGAATCTCGTTCGGGGAGAAATGACCTACCCTATCTCGTTTTTACGAGTCATACGGGCATATTTTGGCTGAGCCTACGGCCTCAGGGAAACCCCGATAAAAAATGACCTTGTGTCGCATGCAACCCTCGTGGGGGGTGGCTAGATACCGAATCAAGCCGAGCTTCTCGACTTGACGGTCGAACTCTCTGCTTTGAGCAGAAAGGAACCCGGACGAGGTTCCGCCGAAGGGCAGAATCTCGTTCGGGGAGAATGACCTACCCTATCTCGTTTTTACGAGTTATACGGGCATATTTTTGGCTGAGCCACGGGCTCAGGAAACCCACGATAAAATGACCTTGTGTCGCATGCAACCTCGTGGGGGGTGGCTAGATACCGAATCCAAGCCGAGGCTTCTCGACTTGACGGTCGAACTCTCTGCTTTTGAGCAGAAAGGAACCCGGACGAGGTTCCGCCGAAGGGCAGAATCTCGTTCGGGGTGAATGACCTACCCTATCTCGTTTTTACGAGTCATGCGGGCATATTTTGGCTGAGCCTACGGGCTCGAAACCCACGATAAAAATGACCTTGTGTCGCATGCAACCCCTCGTGGGGGTGGCTAGATACCGACTCAAGCCAGACTTCTCGACTTGACGGTCGAACTCTCTGCTTTTGAGCAGAAAGGAACCCGGACGAGGTTCCGCCGATGGGGAAGAATCTCGTTCAGGGAGAAATGACCAACCCTATCTCGTTTTTACGAGTCATACAGGCATATTTTGGCTGAGCCTACGGGCTCAGGAAACCCCGATAAAAATGACCTTGTGTCGCATGCAGCCCTCGTGGTGGGGTGGCTAGATACCGAATCAAGCCGATCTTCTCGACTTGATGGTCGAACTCTCTGCTTTTGAGCAGAAAGGAACCCGGACGAGGTTCCGCCGAAGGCAGAATCTCGTTCGGGTTGAATGACCTACCCTATCGTTATTACCAGTCATGCAGGCATATTTTGGCTGAGCCTACGGGCTCAGAAACCCACGATAAAAATGACCTTGTGTCGCATGCAACCCTCGTGGGGGGTGGCTGGAATACCGAATCAAGCCGAAGGCTTCTCGACGACGGTCGAACTCTCTGCTTCTGAGCGAAAGGAACGGACGAGTTCCGCCGAAGGCAGAATCTCGTTCGGGGAGAATGACCAACCCGATCCCGTTTACACAGGTTATACGAGCACATTTTTGGCCGAGCCTACGGGCTCGGAAGCCCCCGTAAAACTCGGCCTTGTGCCACATGCAACCCTCGTGGGGGGGTGGCCGAATACCGAATCAAGCCAGGCTTCTCGACTTGACGGTCAAACTCTCTGCCTCTGGGCAGAAGGAACCCGGCAAGGCTCCGCCGAAGGCCAAGTCTCGTTCGGGAGGTTGATAACCCGATCCCGTTTATACCACAGTTTCTACGGGCATTTTTGGCCTAGCCTACGGGTTCAGGAAACCCACGTTAAACTCGGCCTTGTGCCACATGCAACCCTCGTGGTGGGTGGCTAGATACCGAATCAAGCCGAGAAGCTCGGCTTGACGGTCGAACTCTCTGCCTCTGAGCATAGATGAACCCGGACAAGGCTTCGCCGAAGGGTAGAGTCTCGTTCGGTGAGGTTGACCATCCCGATCCCGTTTATACGGGTTCTACCGGCATTTTTTGGCTGAGCCTACGGGCTCGAGAAACCCACGTTAAACTCGGCCTTGTGCCACATGCAACCCTCGTGGGGGGTGGCTAGATACCGAATCGAGTCGAGCCAATAGTAGTTCACTCCAAATCAGACTGACAGTCATACTAACACCTTCCACATCTTGTACTATTATTTCGTGTAATATACCTTCGTTATTTCTACTCTTGTGTTCGTGTTGTTCTTCCTTGGTCCTAAGCTGGACCATAACACACTACTACAAATAAAAGGTTAGGAAGGAAACCCCCATCAATACTGGAAAGCGTGATAACATTTACTGGACTTGAGAAACCTGTTTTCCTGAAAAAGGCGATAAACTACATCCGCGTCCTGGGTAAGACGATAAACTACATCGGCAGACGATAAACGACTTCCAACAGCAAAGCCTGTGATCAGGAAGTTTTGAGGAGCATGGAAGCGCTTCTTCATTGCTTGTGTTCCCAGGTCCAACTCTGAACGACCTGTTACCTCTGGCTATGGGCAAATAGTTAACTCCCCCAAAATGGGGTCAAACACTATGAAAGTATAAAAGTAGGTTTTTATACCAGCAATACTTTTTTGGAAAAATTTTTACCAGCAGTACATATTTGAAAAAGAAAATAATTGCCAGCAATATATTTTTTGGGGGAAAAAAAATTGCCTGCAAAAAATTTTCGAAAAAAAAAATTACTAGCAATACATTTTTTTGAAAAATATATTACCATCAATAAAATTATTGCCGGAATTAAATAGCACATTGAGGATGATATGCCGTAAAACAGACCAAACCAAACCAATATATACTAGAGATAGATAGATGAATGTTAGATAGATAGATAGATAGATGAATAGTGAACAGGCTGGAAGAGATAGATAGATAGATAGATAGATAGATAGATAGATAGATGAATAGATAGTGAACAGGCTGGAAGAGATAGATAGATGAATAGATAGATAGATAGATAGTGAACAGGCTGGAATAGATAGATAGATAGATAGATAGATAGATGAATGAATGTGAGTAAACTGAGATAGATAGATAGAGATAGATAGATAGATAGATAGATAGATAGATAGATAGATAGGCAAAAATATTATCATTATAAGCACGTACATACTGAAGCACATGCCTCATCTAATTAGTTGGATTCTCTTCCGACCCCTCATTAAAATTGCCTTGAACCAGACTAGGCTATTGTTAGTCATTTACAAAACTCTATAACCAATTATAACATAAATAAATATACCCACGAACTTTCAAGTTCCTTTCGAGAGGAGACGGGTAAAAATGACCCCATTATTTAAGCCCCCCCCCCCGGTTAAACGGTATTTTTATCCACCCCACGAGGCGGGGGGGGTACGGAATTGTTTTGTGCTTATCACTTTCATTATCACGGTAATGGCAGTGGTCATTATCGCTGAGATTTTTGACATCTCCAAGGAAGTATTCGAAAGGGAACGATTACATGCCGACCTCATCATCCGGAGTATTTAAGACAGAGGCCTGGACATAAAAACAAAACGTGTGGGGGCGTAGTGGTTCTATCTATCGGGTGGTGGATGGATAATAGAATGAGAACTGTGGCGGGGGGGGGAGTGACAGGAGGGAGGAAAGGTGGGAGACATCATAAAGCACTTACACGCCGCTTAAGGAGATATGGAATCACATGTACACAAAATTCACAGGCGCCCCCTCACACACACACAGTGGCTGAAAGATAGAAAGATAAAGGGAAATAACCATAAAGCTGTTGGTTAGATAGATAGATAGATAGATAGATAGATAGATAGATAGATAGATTGATATGAGTAAACTGAAACGGGTAGATAGATATCTAGATAGATATTTAGATATCTAGATATCTATATAGATAGATATTAGGTTGGTGCAAAAATAATGACGTAATAATGTCGTTTTTGACGTATTTTTTAACGTCAAAAAACGACATTATTACGTCATTATTTTTGCACCAACCTAATAGATATCTAGAGAGATCGGAGCAGACATAGATAAATCACACGCACACACACACACACACACACACATATATATATATATATATATATATATATATATACCTACCCAGATTTCTCACCCACACAACACAGACATGCTTATGGAAGTGTTGAGGCCTCACACTTATACACACACCCACACGAATATACACGCTTACACACATCATGCTCACTCACTCCCTAAGAACCAAATAAAACGCACACACACACTTAACAGAGACACATCCCCTTTCCAGGAACCAATAAAACTGTCAAAATGACCAAGGGAATTCAGAGCAGCATGAATCCATCCAGCTCTTATCGTAAATAACAAATTAAAAGAGACTGTTTGACCAACACAAGGTCTGAAGAAAATTCATGTTGAAAAAATTAAAAAAAACAAATGAAAACTACAGACAAAAGTTCATTTTCTCCATCAAGTTATTTATTTCTGTAGTTCACTGCTACCAGCGAGCAGAAAAAAACTTTTCTCCTGATGATGGCCATGTTGGCCGAAGCTAGTCGAGGAATCTAAATGAAATAATAATAAAAAGGAAAGAATATTAATATGCAACGCAATGTGTTGAAGATTTTAATTTTTTAATATTATTTATTGTTCATATATATATATATATATATATATATATATATATATATATATATATATATATGTATGTATGTATGTATGGTGGAGTGTGTGTATAGATAGACATGAACAGACCGAATCAGACAGATAGATAGATAGATAGATAGATAGATAGATAGATAGATGTGAATTTACTGAAATAGATAGTAAGATATGAAAATAAATTTTGAATATGAAAAGAATGAGACATTTCAGAATAAATTTATATGTATGCATAGATAGATTATATATATATATATATATATATATATATAGTGAATGCGATCTGTAAATTGTCGGAATTTTCATATTTTTAATTTTTCGCACATGCGCTGTTTGTTTTTCATTTTGTTGACTGCACAGTATAAGAGGGTTCGTTGGATACCGTCTTTGAGAAAAACATCACCATGGCGCAGTTGACTTCGCCAGAAATTTGGAAACGGCATGTTGTACTGCTTGGCATTCGCGCCAGGAGCGCCAATGCGAACATCTCAGTGTGTATGACTGTCAATCTGAGAACAGTGCAGTGAATTCGGTAAAAGTTGGATATATCACTAGTAATGGCGAGGTTATGCGTCCATTGATGTTGCCACCGGGCCTTAAACTCAACGCGGAGGCGGGCATCAAGTGCCTCGAGGATGTAGTGCTGCCCCGGGTCAAGAGGGTGGCTGCTGGAAGATTCTATATATGGAAACAGAACTCTGCACTAAATCACACAAGCAGGAGAACCTAGCCATGATTGCCAGACAAATTCTGCGACCACATCACTCATTACATCCGGACACCTAACTCCCTCGGCTGCAACCTGCTTGATTATTATGTGTGGGGTGCAGTTGAGCGAGAAATCAAGAAAAGTCCTAGTAACATCAAAGATGAAATGGACGCAAGGATTATGTCAGCATTCACCTAACTTAAACAAAGAGATCGTCTAGACGAGTGGCAGGCGATTCCGAAGTGGTCTGGAGGCTATGGTTGAAGTCAATGGCGATTTAAATTTACTCTCTATTATTTCAAGATATTTTTGTGTAATTTCGGTAAATATACCTGTTAAAATGTGATGTCAGTGATATTTTCGTTTTGATGTCATTCAGGAGACAATTTATCCATCGCACCCTGTATATGTGTTAAAATGAGATGTCAGTGTCATTTTCATTTTTGCGTAATTTAGACGACAGTTTATCCATCGCACCCTGTATATCTGTTAAAATGAGATGTAAATGTTATTTTCATTTTTGCATCCTTTACACGACGATTTATCCATCGCCGCCTGTTTATCTGTGAAAATGTGATGTCAGCGTTATTTTCATTTTGGCGTCATTTAGACGACAATTTATCCACCGCGAGCAAAAATGCAACGCACATGGCCTGACGATTGCGTTTAGCATGAAACAGCCTGTCACCCCTGAGAGTTGACTTCAATGTTCACTTTTATATTTATATACGCTCTATCCGCGATACTGAGTCCATAAATATAGCATAAATCTATATTTTATCATATATATATATATATATATATATATATATATATATATATATATATATATATATATATATATGAGGATACCTTACTTCGTTTGAGGATACCTTGGATAGCAAGGGAGGCTGCTTTTTAGTCTTTTTCGTAAATATTTTTTGCCCTGCATTTTCGATTTTGGATGTTTGTATTGAGCCTTTTTTAGTGTATATACATTTTAGGCACGGCTGTTACCGTATATATATATATATATATATATATATATATATATATATATATATATATATAATATTGTAAAACAAGCTCGTTTAGTAGATGGGTCCACGGCCGCACCCTGCACCTTTTGACTTCGATATTTGCTGTGGGTGCTAAATTCTCAAGCCTTTCTTCCTCGTTATAAGTCATAGAATTTTCAGCTCTGTCCGATTCTGAGTATAAATGCTCTTTTTATTTCCTTACGGCTCACATTTTGATTATACGTTCCGTCCATAACATTCTCAACATCCTTCTGTAGAACCACATTTTCGTTGCCTATAGTTTTCTATTCATCTGTGTCGAAATTGTCCAGCACTCATCGCCATATAAGAGGATTGATATTACATAACATTTCAGCACACTCTTATTTGTTTTAATGTGATTTTCCTGTTTCTTAATACATTGTTTAGCTTTTGGAAGGCATGTTTGGCGACTCTAATGCAGATTTCAGTGTCACGCTTTCCACCCTCCAAAATCTAGATGACCAGAGTCTGGTAGTTGATCTCGCCTCTGACCTGGCTCTAACATCTCAATAGGGAAAAACTGGCCGATTACATTCGATAGCTGAGTACATACTAGTAACGTTCCATATACAAAGCAGACGTTGAATTTTCGCCCTATTGCGACAGGCGGGTTTTCTCTGAGGAGACCTTCACCTTGGACGCGTATTGGGGCATAAAATTAGCCACAGATCTCAAGAGGAACTCATACATACGATCCATCGTTAAAAACGGTCGGTTCGTTTTTACACCTTCAACAAAATACCTGCCTTCTTCTTATATATATCATGTCGAGAATTCTTCTCGGATTCTCCTGTCTCGTTCCTTCCATCCATCTCTGTCAGACATCGCTCTCGCAGGTCCTCCAGATGGCATCAGGTCATCTACAAGTTGATCAATGTAGGTGTGATGAGGTCTACCAACCGATCTTTTGCCGTGCAATGGGTTCCATAGGAGGTGTCATTCCCAGGATTCTGACTTACTTTTCCAAGAGTGACCAGCTAGCTGAAACCTTCTCTTTCTTACTTGAAACTGAGATAGGGAGGAAGGTGTCCATAAAGACAATTTCTTTGTTGGGTGTTTCTTCAGCTTATGTCCAATGC